ATGCTTTTGCAAGTGTCTCATTTTCCCTTGTTTGCCTGCAGGTCCAGCTGCTTCAGTTTTGTGTTGTTACTTACCCTTATATATGCACTGTCTAAATCTTGGTCTCATGAATTTAAAAAACAGTATCTTACTGGGTGTCGAGGGTCACAAAAATATTCCTCAGTTCATTAATAAAGAGAATCTTACTCCTTTAAATCTGCCAACTCTTGTACCCTCTTGAACAGTGTGGTTTATAGAACAATAACCCAAGAATAGCTCATTTAGCTTGCTGTGTTCATTGAGCTTTTCCTATATGAAGCACTGAACAGTGGCATCCATCATTTGTCCCACAGATGTGTTTGATTTCCTTGGTTTAATTCACTGTCTGTAAAGCATTGCAGAATACTGCTCTAACATATAAAGAAATCTTTAACTTATTTAAGCACTAACTCAGGCACTTTTAATCATAGAGGGATCATTGAGTGCATTCTATTCCATGTGTAGGGGTTTGTTAAACAACTTTGGCACAGGCTATGCTGAATTCTTAATTAGTGTATGATTAGTCTGCTAATGGAAGTGAGGACTAGTTTCCATTTTAAGGTACAGAGTACCTGTAAGCCCAATGTCATGACCTGAGCTAAAATCCTTAGTTGACTTTGAGGTATATTGAAATCATTAGTACTGAAGCAGTGTTTCTACAGGAGATTGTTTCCACTGCTTTTGCAGTTGGTTTTCTCTTATATTCACTTTTTGAGCTTTCCTAAAAAGTCATGTTGACCTTCCTGTATTTACTGTGTGCCATGGTTTAACCCCAGGCAGCCACTTGCTCGCTCACCCACCAGTGGGACTGGGGAGAGAATTGGAAGGGCAAAAGCTGGAAAACTCATGGGTTGAGATAAGGGCAGTTCAATAGGGAAGGCAGAAGCCACACAGACAGGCAAGGTGAAACAAGGAATAATTCACTGTATCCAGCTGACAGGCAAGTGTTCAGCCATGTCCAGGGCAGGCTGCTGGCTGAATATCTGATGTGATGGTGGGGGGGCCCTAGCATGTGCAATGCCTGCTTGGGGAGACACATGCCAGCACTCCATCTCCTTCTTCCTCTTTCTGTTTTTATATGCTGAGCATGTCATATGGGCAGAATATACCTTTGATCACCTGTCCTGCTGTATCTGCCACCCATCTCCCATGTACCTCCAACTTCCTCACCAGTGTGGCAGCACAAAAAGCAGAAAAGGGCTTGGCTGTATGTGAGCACTGTAAAAAATAACAAAAACATCTCTGTATTATCAGCCCTGTGTTGATGACAAATCCAAAACACAGCCCCATACCAGCTACTGCAAAGAAAGTGAACTTTCCCCCAGCCAAAACCAGCACACTGATAAAAACAAAAAGTGAAGTTCACAGTAACTTCTGCAGTCATAACTAATTAATGTACGTGTATAAAATATCTAGAACATACTTGTGTAACTTCATTAGTTTAACAGGTTGATTTCATCTAGGAAAGACCCCTGTATTAAGACACAATCTATACTTAGTAATTAGAAGAATCATTATTCACTCCATACATAGAGTCAAACTGGTTTAACAGTGCCAGCAGGGTAAATTAAACTACTGAAATTTTACAAACATTGTTTTTGTAGCAGTAAAACTGGTCAAGGGTATGCGGTACTTTTTTCCAAAGTAAACTGAAGATCTTTGGAATGGACAGAACTTTCTCACGTTATGTTTTCATGCTGATGTGGTTTGTTCTTACTCATTCAAAGGACATTACATTAGAATCAAGGCACTTGATAGTGGGCCAGCTATACCAACAGTGTAGTATAATAAAATGAGAGATGTTGTCTTTTATATCAAATTGAGCATCACAGCTTAAAGAAATACACTTCCTGGTACTACTCTTGAAGTCCTTAGTCTACATGGGTATGATATCTAAAAATGCTATTAATAGGAACTTCCTGCTAAGACAATTAAAGTTGTGTAACTTTAGTCCCTGGAGAAGGTTAAGTTAAATGGTGATGTCTTCTGGGTATAACTTAACTGTACTAGTGGAGAGGTTAGTGCTTCTGACTACCAACCCTCAAAATTGCTGTCTGCTCTCATGGGAATGAATGTTTCCTGACCCAGTTCAGTTGAAGTAAGCCTGAAATACTTTAAAAAGTAAGTATTTCATAAGTTATTTTGACTAAAACATTGATAATTGTTCCTTCCTCAGCACATAAAAGCTGAGGAGGAAGTAGAGATGAGGGGTTTAATTGGTGCAAGCTAATGAAAGGTTTCCACTGCTGTGGTGGCCTACAGGGTGCTTAAATAACAGTGGAACACCACTGGACTTGATGCCAGATGCACCACCACCCTGTTTGTACTAACTGGTGACAGTGAGGCATTTAAAAATAATAATGAATCTTGTCAAGAAGGCTCACTAACTCATTCACTAGGGAAATAAACTAACAGTATGTAACTTACAGACAAAAATATTTTGGTAGCATTTTGAGTCTGAAGATTGAACAGAAAAGCAATAAATGCATTTTAAAGCATTTAAGAGGAAGTCTAATGCCTGCCTTCTGTCAAAGTGCCTGCTTTTAGATGGATGGGATTGAGCTTTTGTAAGGAAAAGAGATGGATGTATAATTCTGCTTATTATTTTTTTCAAATGTTTTTGAAACAGCTTCATTTTTTATTTAATTACATGACAAGTAATGGTGTCAAGCAGTCAAGGAATAAATTTGAGAACAAGTGCAGTGATCATCCTTGTAGAGCAGGTCTAATGAGTCTAAGTACAATGCTGATATTTGTGTTACTCTCTACCTAGAGCAACAGAAGCAAAATGTTTCTGTGCTGTGTATCTTCTGAGAAGAGGATTTTTCCCTGTTCCCAGAAATAAGAAAATAAACAAAGGGATCATCTCGGACTAGGGGAACACAAGGCTGCCAAACTAGGATGTATTGTACATTTGCAGAGGCAGTGGTTTAATCATATTGTCATTTGACATAGTTGTCAGCAACACATCTTTTTAAAGGAAAATTTTAGAAAGGTTATGTTTGTTCTGTAGTTTTACAGTGTGTCAGATTATAGTGGTAGAAAGTCAAAGAAGGAACTAAGAGCTTAAGCTGTGACAGTGTCAGTGGCTAAATGGCTGTGGGACAAAGAACTTCTTACCACTTCATTTTTCAGAAATTTTGTGGTTAAAGTAAAGGCAAGGATCTTGGTCTGATGTGAAAAAGGGAAACCAGTAGACCAAATGAGTAGTACTTGTTATAGGCAGCTGTAGGCTTGCTGGTTGAAACAGCAGCAGTTGAAAATAATTTTTGCAGGAGTATTCAAAGTGAAATATAAGGCAAAAATTATTTGGGCACTGTTTGTAAACAACATAATGCTTGTGTGTTGGCAGGAGCCTTGGCTCTCCTTTCTCTCTTCTAGTCATAATACAACTAATATTACAATTCTTTTAACTGTTGGACATAATAAAGCAGATCCTAAAACTATGTGCAGCTTTTTTATGTTGTGGTCTCTGGTCTTGTAGAATTCCAGGTTTCCTCCTTTCAGTGTTCTAGATAACTTTAGAAAGGAAGTAAAAATGTGATTATCAGTCTTAAATATCTGAATAAAATTTGATTTATCATGGTTTGTCTCATTCATTTTGAAAGGAGAAGAGACTATTCTATGGAAAAACCTGGCAATTAATTGAATCCATCTACTTCTTTCCTATACTAGCAATAAACATTTCTCATATATGGGCTGGTGTGTCCTTTGAATGTGTATGACATGGTTTTGACAAGCATGGAAAAAAGCATTTCTGAAAGCAAGAAGATTCACATTAGATGAGAACACCTTGATGATCACTTCTGGTTATTGAAGATCAAAACTCAGACTGATGATACTTAGAATAATTAAGATTGAAAAGAAATTGAATTCAGCTGTTAACCCAGCATCCCTGTGATTGTCACTGGGCCTGGTGCTGTACACTTCCAGGGACAGCAATTCCAACTGGGCAGTCTGTGCCAATGCCTGACTGTTTCAGTGAAGAAATTTTTCCTGGTATCCAATCTAAACCTCCCCTGGTACAACTTCACTCCTTTCAGGTGCTTGTAGAGAGCAGTAAGTTTCTGCTGTGCCTCCTTTTCTCCAGGCTGAGCAAGCAAGTTGTGCTCCAGCTCCATTGTCCTCTGGACTGCCTCCAGCACCTCAGAGGCTTTCCTGCAGTGAGGGGCCCAGAACTGGACATGACATGTGAAGTGTGGCCTCACCAGTGCTGAGTACAGGGGGACAGTCACTGTCCTGATCATGCTGGCCACAGCACTGCTGATCCAGGCCAGGATGCCCTTGGCCTTCTTGGCCACCTGGGCACATGTTGGCTCATGTTCAGCTGCTGACCAGCATCCCCAGGCCTCAGCCCCTTGATCCAGCCTGTCCAGATCCCTCTGCAGAGCCTTCCTACCTTCCAGCAGGTCAGCACTCCTGCCCAGCTCAGTGTCATCTGCCAACTTAGTGAGGGTGCCCTTGATCCCGTCATGTGGATCATTGGTGAAGGTGCTGGAGAGGGCTGATCCCAGTTCTGAGCCCTGGGGAGCAGCCCTGGTGATTGACCACCAGCTGGATGTAGCTCCGTTTACCACCACTCTGGGCCCAGCCAGGCAGCCAGATTTCTACCCAGGGAACCCTGGTCAAGCCATGAGCTGCCAGTTTGTCCAGGAGAATGCTGGGGCAGATGGTGTCAGGCCTCAGCTTTGCTAAGCTCTGGGTAAGCTACATCCATGGCCTTTTCTTCATCCCTCAAGTAATTTTCTTTGCTGGGAAATGAAGGTTATGAGGTGTTCATGGAACGTTTCTCAGTTTCAGGTAGCTTTGAATTAAGAATATATTGATCATTTCATGTGAAACAATTCAGCCACTGAGACTATTGGCTGGACTAACTCAGGAAAATAAGCTTTAAAAAATATGAAAAATGTGCTAAATTTTAAAATTTACATAATAGAAGAAAAACAGCTGAAGCAATTTTTTTTCTGCTTAATTCCTTGCAGGGATGTCTAAAGAGTGATTAAGCACACCTGATGGGAAGTCTTAACACAGATACCCTAGGTAAGCAAAATAAGAACTACAAAACCTTTTACAGCTGAGTTAGCTGTAAAAATCTGTAGATTTTAGCTGAGAACTTGTAGATAGTTCTCCTTGACCTGTCCTGCTCCCCTGTTCCCTGCACAAGATGAACAGCTTAACACAGCTGCTCCTGAGAGGGAGGACCTGGCTTCTCACTCAGGTGCCTGTGGGCTTGTGTGACTCCAGAGTGACCTGTGGCAGCCAGCTGGCTGGGCCAAAAGCAATGGGAGAGTTTTGTGGTGCAGTTCACCTGAATTATCTGCTTCCCACCAGTAACAATGAATGAAGATTTGCCTCCTCCTCGAATCTTCCCTCTTTTCCTCCCTCTCTTGACTTTTAACAACGTATTCTCCCTTCTGGCTGCAATAGAATGAATCTGGCTGCAAAAGAAATCAACTTCATTGTGCTTACCTGGATGATGTTTGCTGCATTTCTGCCAGCTGAGTTTTCTCTCCTTTTAGTGAGTTGAATTATCCTACTGGAAAAGTGGGGTCAAGACCACTGCAGCTTGGTCAGGGTGAGCAGGACCTCCTTCCTGGAAGTGAGCTGTAAATTCTGTTCAAAGGGCTTTTGAAATTATTCCTTGACTTGGCAAGTGAGAAAGAAGTTTCTGCCAGTTCAGTTACTTGAACTGATTTATCAGGCATTATGTGTATGCTAACACACGAAGAGATGAAATTATAAGCCAGAAATGGAAAATGGGATAGGAATGCCTAGTTAAGCTCTCCATATCTGCAACATGATTTGCAACATGAAATGTTGTCTAAGAGTTTATACTTGAAATATTGAAGCTGATCTTTTTTCACTGTTATACATGCTCTTCAGAGCAAAGTTACATGGTTTATTGGAGGTGATTTCAATTTAGATATTTAGTACAGAGTACTGGTTTTACAAATACTGATTTTGTCAGTGCCCTTTAGTTTAGGGATCGCTGAGTTAAATAAAGCAACAAGACCCAAAAGAATCTGCTTCTTAGTGTTTGTGCAAATTGAAAGTGCAAGTGTCCAAATATAAAACACCTTGTGAGTAATATGTAAATTCTTGTTAGTAATAGTGAGTACATTCCTTTTCCAGTGTGTGCATGCCTCAAACTCATGATTTGTGTAGCTTTGACAGCTGGTTCTGCATCCCTAAGTTGAACCACCTTGTGCTTGTTCCAGGCAGCATGAAGAGGCAGGATAGGTTACACCTTTTCTCCAGGTTCCTCTTCATCATAAGAGTTCAGTCTTGTTTGTGTACTTGATGTCCTATGTTCATGCAAGTGCAGTTCAAATGAGTCTGTTTTAGATAAGTTTCAAAAATTCTCTGCCAGGTTTATGCCTCTCTGAGAGCCAGTTTCCCAATGGTGCATCGTAGTTGCATACAAATGTATTCCTTCACTGCTTTACTCCAAGGTGAAACATGCCAGTTTAAATCGCTTTGAGTCTTCACGCTAAGCTGTTTTACTTAGCTCACATCTTGACATGAGGGCAGTTGCATCTGATTTAGGAGAACTAACCAGCTGGTGGAAATTAATACCTCAAAGTGATTTCTTTGTTACTGTGTAATGAAGTAGCACTCATTTCTGGCACTCTGTGTGTTAACAGTACAATATTTGATTGCTAGTATTTTATTTAAAAGAAGAAAACATTGATAAGCCACATTGCCTGCCTTGAAAATTCCAAGTGCTCTTTGAATAATGATTGTGCTGCAGCTCACTGGATGCAGAAGTGGGCTAATAGAGTGCTCCTGCAAGGATGCTGACACCTAGATCTTCCTAGGTGATAATGATTTTCAGCATAAGCTTTAGTATCATATCTCTATATGCATGCCTGTTATCTTTTGTCCTAATTTAACTAATAATGCAGCATGCTAGGGAGTGATTAAGAATAGTCTAATGCACAAATATTTTTGTATTTCCCCTTTCACACATTATTTGGGCTTTAGTATACCACTGGGCACGCCTCCAAGGCCTGCAATTCTTGCTCTAGTCAAAAAATATTTCTCTTTCCAGTTTTAAGAGCAGAATTAGCTTGAGTTAAACTTGAATTAAAAGTGAGTTATTTTTTTATTTGCATGGCTCATTGGGGAGGTTTCAAGTTTCATTGAGGAGTTGGTAATTCCTAGGAGTTCCAGAAAAGTTAAAGAATAAAAGGCAGTATTAGTGTAAGAGTAGTCTTTGTTCCTACAAGAGGTAGGTATTGTAGTGTTGTTAATTTGCTTTTGTCAGTAAAATTGTTTATATGGTGCTTTATAATCTGTGAATGTTCCTTTTAAGTACCGCCTAGTGAATATTTGTATACCAATAATATAACACATAATGTATGCCTTGACAAATAAACAAGGCATGCATCTGAATCCTTTTTACTGCTTTAATGTAGCAGTGTCTGTTAAACCCCACAAAATTCTTCTTAGGAAGATTTGGGCTCATGCTGTGGCTGCAGTATTGATAATGAAACATCATCTTTTTTTTAAACACTTGTCTTCTGTGTCCCAAGTACTGCTGCCTGTTAGTTACAAAATTGATCTTCAAGCACTCCTGTTAATACTAAAAAATCTGTATGGGTTCAGAAGTTAGATTTGCCCCTCTTGATTCACATTAACAAAAACCGCCTGTGTTCCAGTTTTTTAAGATGTTAAACCTGGACCTGCTGATGTCATGGTCAGTAATAGACTTCTGTTCTCACAGTAATTTTATTGTTGCTTGTTGGAAAAGCAGAAGAGGAAAAATAGGAAGTCTCTGTGTGAGTTATTTAAATAAAACAATACCAGGTTTTCAAATAGCAAATTATTTATTTTTATAGTATAAGCAAACTTTAAATTCTGCAGGGATGTCATCTTCATACAACCGTGAACGCACTTATGTGAACTATATTTTCCCCAGAATATTTTTACTTTTGAAACTACAGATGTTAAGCATCTTCTTTCCTTTCTTTGACAGGAAATTCTGGTGATTAAAGATCATGGCAACCATAGAGGAACTGGCCCATCAAATTTTTGAACAGCAGATGGGAGAGGTACATAAATTTTGAGTCCTATTTAAGAGAAATTGAATAATAAAATGCACAGACTGGCGTGTAAAAGCCCAAATCATTAAAGAAAATTTTTGATACAGACAAGGCTTCTGGACACTTCCCTCAGAAGGAAGAACAACCTACTATGTCCATTTTAAAGTTACACTGCAAAGCCTTTTTTGCCAAAGTGCACCCCACAAAAATTAAGAACTATCTAGCAGGGTTTCCACTAAGGCAACTAGCTTTTCAGCTTGCTGTCTGAGCCTGTAGTGGTTTTCAGAGAGCCATCTGGTTGTGTAATTGCTTTACTCCCTTTTAGTTTAAAAAGTCAGGACACAACTATGCAATTACTTCATTTGTCATTTTTGGCTTCACTAGGAAAGTTTTGCCATGTTCTTCACTTTCAGATATATGTGCTTGCTATGTGTCAAAAGAAAGATTGAGCTCCTGTTTCTGCAAATTTCTAGTTCTGGTTCTGTGTGACCTATGTGCAGAATCTGTGCACTGCAGCCAGGGAACTGCCAGAGATGCACAGATAGTTTGGGAGTGTGCATATGGGTATACATAGTTATCTAGAAAATTTCAGCATAGCATAGACTATTTAAAATTAACACTACTGTAAAATTAGATAGAGGCAGTAATTTATTTATCTTCCATAATGGATGTTATTTTTTAGCTTGAAATATCCACTCTTGGATTCTTGTCTAGACATAGACTTACTTCTCAAGTAATTTTATTTCCTCTCAGCATTGATTTCAGATGGAAGGGTTGGAGTGGGGGATGGGATGGTTAATTCTACCCTGAATAAATTTTCACAGCTTTTATTTTTGTAGCACGAGTTGTTCTGAGTGCTGCTAAGGCAATCTCAAAGGATGTTTGCGTCCCATAAACCACTTATTACTTGTCCTCTTCATTAGGTGAGAACACGTGTTTAATGCAGTTTTGTTTTGGGACTGTAATTCTTTGTTGAGGACTAAATAGGGCTGTATTTCCTGTTTAAATTGGTTTGGTTTTGACAGTGCAAGGCTAGTCAAAGCTAGCTGAAGTGTACATTCCCCTCAGGATGGCGTGATGAAGGTGTTTGCCTCTGGGGTTTGTTTCTCAATTTCATAATGTGATTCCAGGAGACACTGAGCTGACTTAGTATCTCAGTACCATGGGAGAGACAGGGTCCTTTTTCTGTTTCTTTCCTTATTAATTTCCCCACCAAGAGCAAGCTAATAACCCAGCCAAAACAAGTGGAAGCTTTTCTGCTGGGTTAGCATAGAGTAGGGTCTGAGAAGGCTCCTGTGACTACCAGAGCCAGCACAAAGAAGATGACTGGTAGCCAAAGGAAGGCAGGGGAGAAAACAGGGAGAGTGAAGGTGCAGTGCTGCAGAGAGCTGTAGCTGTTCTTGTTCATGGTGAAATCACAGCTGTACAGTTTTCATGGCTGTTGTTTTGTCAGCAGTGGAGATTAGGATTTGTGTTTTAGCAAGGTTTTACTGACTAAGATGGTCACACCGTATTTGGCAGCAGTGCAGCTTAACCATTCCCCAGTCCTCACTTAGCCACTTATTCTCACCCTGTGCTAGTCTTGCTCATGTAAGCTCTGTGTGTCATCATGCTGTGGACAAAACTAGGAAAAAAAATGAATGACAGCAGAGGGGAGGAAGGTCATCTCCCTGTTGGTTGTGATCAGTGTCCTTGTTTCGTACCAGGTGCGGCCCAACCAGGCGCGTGGTTGGAGAGACTGAAAAGCATCCCTGAGGCCAGTGAAAACTGGGACTCCTTAAGCCAAAATTGTTGTCACAGGCCTATGCCATGCAGGAATGTGCTGTCTGAAAGGTGGAATCAGCAAGGAAAGCAGTCTCACAGGGGCCTCCATGCAATAACTTACATTCCTGCCTACATACAGGCTGTAATTGCTTGGTGGCATTCCTAATCACTGAAAAATCATAGTTTAAGGTCTAGAGAGCTTCAGCAGTATTTTTGCTAACGTTTATAATACTCTTGTTGAAGTAGCTTTAATTGAATTTTAAAGAAAAATTTACATGAGTAGAACCTGAAAGGAAAACGTGTTCCACTATTGAGGATAATGGAAATGCTTCTGTCTCATTGAAATAATGATCAGAAGTGTTTTGTACATAGATTTTGATTTTTAAAATAATGTTAATTGTTGTTCATGAAACATTTTAAATCACAAAATTACCACAACAGTTTTACAATGGTGTTCACAAGCATACTTTTCTTAATTTAGGGCTTTTTACATGAAAGCAAAACATTGAAGCAAAATATAACCCTGTGTGTATGGAGCATTGTGCAGTGATTGTTGTTGCTCAGATTCTGCCATCTGCTAGTCATCTTTTGCTCAGTGCAAGATAATTCCTATTTCTGTATCAAGAATACATTTCTTGAATCATGTAGCAAAGCTACCTGCCAAGAGCATTCTTTCTTTAAACTCTGGCTGGAATAACTAAGTCTGTGGTGGTTCATTTCCACAGTCCTGCCAGTTTGCTGTAACAGAGGAAAGCTATATCATTGTTGAAACAGTCTGTCACACATAAAAAGTACAATTTTAAACAAATTTTGCAGTTACTCTTATCAATATTAACTGAAATAAAAAACCTTGTATTCTGCATAGAAGTAAAACTGTCAAGCTGACATTTTGTGGGGTTAAAAGGTACATGTGGATCATGGCATTTTAAGGGAGCAAATGTGAAGCAGTTCTATAATATGTAGCTTATTTTGTAAAGCAAAGGTAAATGCACATAAAACTTTAATAGTTTCTAATCACCACATGTACCTGTCAATTTGAGTGGCTGATGCAGAACTTCAGTGCTTGAAAGTACCTCTCTTGAAAGAACTGAAAATGCTGCTGGTTGATGAACAGTTTTTTGTCCTTTACTTAAGCAAAGAAGCAGATATTATTTAAAAGTACTTGTACTCAGAAAAATTGGGTATTTTTAGAAAGCAGTGTCCAGAAATGACTCAGCAGTAGTTTGACAAGCATTTCTTTTGGTGGTGCTGGCAGTTTAAGTAATCTCCCCAGCAGATTAGCCTCACTCATTTGCCCTGATGCATCTGCTTCTGAGCATTGTGGAGACTGGATTGAAGAAGATCTGTGCTAAGAATAGCCTTTGTTTGCTGGGCTGCTTTTCAGCCTGCACTGGTGTCCGGTGCCAGATCACGGAATGACTGACCAGCCAGTTTTACCTGCCACACTGAGGGGAGAGGAGCAAGTAAATTATGAGATTGCTACCAAAAGTAGCACCTTTTGGGGCAAAATTTCAAAATCAACATAGGCTAATGGGAGGTTGTATTTCTGCTAGAAGGGGAAGTCTTGCCCTCCACCCCATCCCTCTCTCATACTGACCTCGAGCTGCATGTTCTGGCCTGCTTTTGTCTGCTGATACTAGCATTTAGATGATGGTATGGTTGCAAAATCAGGAAGCTGATACAGGAGGAACAAAAAGCCTCACAAACTGTTATGAAATAGTACCTTGACTGCAATATACATATATATTCTCTGTATTAATTGGGAGGGGCAGGGGGGCAATGAGGTGCAGAGATGTATTGGTATAATGGTGTAAATACTGGGAATAATTGGTAATAGAGATTTGTAGGATGTTGCAGACAGTTTTGTGAATAGCAAAAAGGTTTTGGAGTTACCTGGGAATTTAAGACAAAAATTTCAGGTTGAAAGTGTCTGTAAACTCTGTGAAGAGAAATTCTCTTTATAGTGCAAAAAATCTGGCCTTTCTGATCGAGCCTCTACAAATAGCAGCTGTCCTTAATTTTTATTGACAGATATTGTAATGAATAACACAATACCTTCCCCCCTATGCCATTTGCTGTAGGCTGTGAAGAATTTTTAAAATACTGATAATTGTTAAAATACTTCAATAAATTGTGTTTGAGAGCATTCACGCTGAGATTTTAATACAAGATACACTGTTTGCAAACTTTACACAATTTATTAGTTTTTCCTACCTTTGTTAATAGTTCTCCAGTATAGAATTCTTTAACAGAAAAACAGAATTGAAACTGCCAATTGCTGTGTTTCCATACAAAAAACCCTTCTGTCACTTCAAGTGAGCCATTAAAGTACATTTATTGCAAACATAGCACAGCTGTGGTGGTAGGTATTGTGTCTCATGGACATCAGCAGTAGTAAATATTCGGGTCGGTTGCCATACACGGACATGTCAACAATTAATTGCTTCACTTAAAGTATTTGTAAATTTTGCATTGGAGGGTACTTTGAAATGGGTCTAAATCAGAATTTTCTAATTAGACAAATTAAGGTGTTGAATTAGGCATTCACATTTTTTATAGAATAAGAGTGTCAGACCTTCCATGGCCTTGTTCAGAGAAATTGGAAGCTGATGAAACCTGAAGGTTTACTCCATTAAATTAGTGGCTCCATTAAAATAGTATATCTGTTGTCAGTCCGTGACATTTGTTTCTCCTTTCTAGGTTACACATTCCCAGGAAGGTGGTACACAGACACTAATGGATGGGGCAGCACAGCGAATACAGATTGTCCCTGCAGATTCGGGCCTCTCTTTATCACAGCGGATACAGGTATGCTTCATCCGATGCATTTTAAAACAGACATGAGCTATTTGCTTCTGCCAGTTTCCACATGCAGTTCTTTTTTGTTTTCATCTTGTTACTTGCTTTAATGTAAATATTCAGCCCCAGATGGCAGAGACCCTTTCTGTATAAATAGGAATAAAACAGCATTCCAGTCTTTTCCTCTCTTTTTCGTTTTTTTATTTTTCCCTTGTAAGAATTTTAACATCACAAAAATCCTAAATCACTGAACAGAAAAATACTTTTTGCAAGTGAAGCTATTCCTTGAAAGTTGAATATTTTTTCTATTTGGTAGTTCAACTAAGTTGGAGGATTTCTACATTTTGGAGCAGAAGTGAGGAGGGAAATACTGCATTGTATCTTTGAAGTAATGAAAAAATGCAGAGAAACTTAATGTCTGAGAAGAATACTGATTTTTGGTTGTCCCAACCCATGTTGTATCTCTTGGTATTATAATCCATAACCTGGTCAAGTAATAACCTCCAGCTGAAGTGAGGGTAGTGAAGTTTTTGGCAATGTAGGTATGTAAATCAACACACAAATGTATGTATGGAGACTAGGAACATTTGGGGAATGAAATTTTATGATTTATGCCCTAAAAGTCAGTGCAAATCAGTTTTATTTTTAATTTTCATTGTAGAGAAAAATATCAGCTGCAGAATAAGTATAAAAAATATTCTCAGATATATGTTGTTCATACAAAAGCACACATTTAAGTGAGCCAGCTGCTAGTATAATCTTGGCTGCTTTTTTCTTTTAGCAGCTTCACTCTAAACATTGTCCTCTGTTTTTCTCCTGTTTTGGTGCATTATGTGCAAGCTTTCAACCTTCCAAGGCTCTTCCCAACCACCCCCTATACAATATGGGGTTTTTTAGATTTATTACCCCCCCACCTGTGCTCTAGTTGTGGTATGTCTTACCAATCATGTAGGTCTTCATTCTTTCAGCTGCCTCTGCTCTGTTTCTCACTTCCTGTACAGCTGTACTTTTTATTAATTAATTTGTGCTCATCAATTAAACAGCATTCTGTCTTCAGAAAGGATGGTAAGCACTTTGGCTGTTGTCTCTTGATGTGTGTGAAACAGCACTCAGTCAAAACACTCATCCTTCCTGCAAGAGACATCTACAAACATCACTAGTATCAAACTTACTAATAAAAACTTTGCTCAGAGAAGAATTTATGTGAAGAGCAAAGTAGTTTGTAGGAATAAATGTATCTCTGTGAAATGTCCAGCATAAATGCTACATTTAATGATTTTGAGTTTATATTTCCAATTATTATTTTTTCCTTTATTATTATTAAATGCACCTAATTATCTGAAACAATGAAATAGAAAATCCTCAGTAGAAGATTCTTTAAAACGTGTTTCATTAATCACTCTTAGGGAATGCTAGCATTTCTTCTGGGAGAAAAGTTGAATGTTACATTTGCTCAACAGGCATTCTGCACAAAATTGCTCTTGTTATAAACAAGTGTATTAGTTGTCTGTGTTTAGACATCTGCTTTTTTGTAAAATAGGAACACACAGATACTGAGGTGTTTATTGAAATGATGTTCAAATGGAAATCAAAACTTGTTAACAAACAAGGCTTAAAAGCAATAAAGGAAAACAATATCTTCCATTATCATCAGGGTGCTTATTTGAAGTACATGGGAATAGTGTATTTTTTATGCAGTCAATCCTGAATTGATATATTCCTGTTTTATAATATTATTGTTTTAGCCATATTGAGTTTCAGGTTATTAAGAAAGATAATGTGTTGTCACTGATTAGTGGTGGATTCGTGGTCAGAAGATAAATGTTTTTCCTCTTCCCTTTGACAATGTTTTTCTCTTACCTTGACATTTAGGTGTTGCAAGTTGTTGTGCTGTGCTGAACTGCTCCACTTTTCAGTGTCCCCATTGCAGTGTAGGTGGGGGTTTGCAGGTGTATGGCCATAAGAGTCAGCTGCAGTCAAGAATGTGTTTAAGTGTTTAAACTGCTTTCTCTTATGGCTCTGTCAGTTGTCAGATGCTTGTCAGGTGCAGAAATCACTTGTGCAGCTTGAATAGCTTTGTAAGGATATTAATGTAGCACTGTATCTACTTTATCATGTAGTGAAAACTGCCTGGGCATCCTCCTAGGATTGCAGGAGCCCATTTGCAGACTGGGACTCTGTTAAATAGAAGGTGAAGTGAATTGGGTGAAGTATCAGTGGTTCTTCTGCCTGCTCCCCTGCCATATTTATCTACAAGTACATATATTTTTTTAATTACACAGCTGGGCTACAGTAGGAAAAAAGATGACTTGGTATATATGTTCCAAAAGTAGTTTCAGCTGTACTTCAAGTTTGTATTTGGGACATGCTGGTTTTTGGGTATACTTTTTATAAACCAAAATAGATGGAATATGTACCTTTTTGGGGTACTCTCAGTTATGCTTTTAAGATTTGATATGGAGACAGATTTTAGTTAAGAGTGTCTTTCAAAGAGTAGGTCTGGAGATTCAAAAAACAGCACAGTGTTCTGTTTGGCTTTTGTACATCTATGCACCCTGTTGAGCATAATATACATTGGATTTCTCCTAATCCAAATAAAATGCTTGGAAAGATGCTAGATGCTTGGAAAGAAGGGGAATGGAATATCAGCTACTTTGGAAATAGCCAAAAATTACAAGAGAAATAAAAATTGTGAATGAAGGAAAATGGAACAAAGAAAATTAAATTAAGGAATGAAGGGAAGTGAAAAGGGCAAGGAAGTTTGCCTTCTAAAGAATATAGAACCAATCTAAAGGAACTTAAAGAAGAAATAATGGTCTACTGTAGCCATATGTGGTCTCAGACATGAGGATATATGAAACAACTGAACAGAAAATTTATCATGTCGATAATTATTGTCATGTTTTAGCATTGTCTTCTCAGCCTACACCCCAAATCCCATAACTTTTGTCCTTTAGCATTTAGAATGTTATCATTTACCTGCACTTTTCTCTTAGATATGCTTTTAATCATATTGTGTAGAGAAAAAGATTTGAGTTTTGATCCATTAAAATGTTAAGAGCACAAGGCCGCCTGAAGGAAACACATTTGTTTTGTGTAATGAAACTCATGATTTATGAATATTTGAAAGTGGCAATATTGTGTTATAACTGCTGAAATTGGATATTCATCACTGCTTATCTTTTTAAAAGGCAAACTATACACAGGCATTGGGCATTTAGAGAAAGTAATAAGCCTGTTGTGAAGGTGCAATAGCAAAGCTGATAAAGAATTCATGTGAAATTATGCCTTGTTCAGTTTCTTTGTGCCATAGTTCTCCACCTAGGAAATACAATTAATATTGGCACCCCAATTATGGGGAATAAGTTATGGTAAATATTAGACAACTAAATAAATGTCATCTGTAATAAAAATAAAATTCATATCTGTAATATGAATGGTAGGCATGTGTAGATAAACATAAATGTTTGTCTACAGTTTAAAAAACAAGTTAATAGGAGCTATTTTATTGATCTGTAATTCAAAATAGTTTGCAGGAAACAGTCTTTGTAGGATAATTGTCCTTAGTCTCCAGAATAAACCAGGCAGTTTTCCATATAGACATTTTTAAGGAGATATGCAGTGACTATAAGTGAGATTTATAATGGAATATATATAGAATCCTGATTATTTTCTCTGAGGATTATAATCTTCTGACAAAGTTGGCAGAAGGTAGAGGATTATTTAATAAAATTCTGCTGTATTTGTGCTTGAAAACAGGGATAAAATGGGAAAAACCACCCCGTAGATCTGTTCTTTTTCCTTAAAAAAAGAAAGAAAAAAAGGCAGGGAAGGAGATTCTGTTTCACTGATTTATTTAGAAATGTATATGTAAAAAAAGGTCCCCACAAAATGAAGCCTAAAATGTGTATATAGGTGCAACAATATAATTGCTTTTCCTGCTGTTTGCTGCTTACTTTTTTCACTTGGACATCTACGTTGTGGTTTTAAGAAGTTCCATGTTAAGTAACCAAACCTTGGAGGTGCTGCAGACACTTCATGTAGAGAGCAGCGAATTCAAGATTTATTATTTCTTATAACCTGATGGGTCTTAGGGCTCAGCTACAGACATGCCTTGAGTTCTGGATGTTAGAATTGTCAGGAGTTTCAGTAGTGTTGTAAAAACACGTGTCAGTTGTAAAAATTGAGTACAAACTCAGGTTTGACTTCAAACACCTTGATTGAAATGTGTTTCAAATACAGTGAAAATCCAGGTTTTTGCCTGAGTTTAATTCACTCTTGTGTGATGGAGGGGAAGATGATCCTGCTTCTCGAATGTGAAAGGCAAAATCCCATTTTCTTCAAGTGCCCGGATTGGGTCCAAAAGGTTAAATCACCATAACAATTGAGATAAATGTATTATTAGATTGTCACAGATCAGCAGACGGGCCAGAAGATTCAGATTGTTACATCACTTGATCAGAGCTCAGCAGGCAAGCAGTTCATCTTAACAAATCATGATGGCTCTACCCCAAGCAAGGTGATCCTTGCCAGACAAGATTCCACTCCAGGAAAAGTTATCCTAGCAACTCCAGATGCTGCAGGTGTCAACCAACTGTTTTTTGCATCCCCTGATATATCTGCACAACACATCCAGGTAGATAATCCACTTTATTTCATATTTTTCATTCAAATGGGATAAGAAAAGATGTTTTATTTCCAAATAAGTCTGTCTGGGTTCTCCTTTTTGTTTTTTTTTTTTTTTTTTAAGTATAATTTTCCTTGCACTACGACTCACTGTGGATATTTAAAAATTATGAAAAAACTTTTTTTAGTAAATTTCTTGCTTTTAAAATTTATATGTTGGCTCATGACATTAGGAAAAATACAGTTATTTTTATTGTCATTTCCAGATTCTGCCATGCCAACAGTCCTTTATTTCTCCTCGTTAACTCTCCATCTGTTTTCATGTATTGTTGAAAAACATTCACTTTTCTCCATTGTCCTTCTCTCTTAACATTTCCCTTTGCTGGTTTCCCTTTTTGCACGCTGTTGCAACTGCTGTTCAGCTGTGTGAATTGTAGTCCACAGCAGTGCTCAGACTATTTAGTGGGGCAATACATGACTCCATGGGGGTGAGGAAATAACACTAATGCTTTTGTGTTTACTAATGTGATATTGTAGCTAGGCAGGGTTGTAGCTCCCTTAGCTGGTCCCCAGTGTACCTTACTCCATGCACATTGTATGTGCCATTTCTTTAGTTGCCACCCTTCCAACTTCCAGGCTTTCTGTCCCAGCCTGGCAGGGATGGCTTGGCACTGATGTGAAGAGTGTCAGAAACTTGCAAGGAGAGCTGGGAGATGTGACCTGCTTCAGCATGAAGTAGGAGGATACTGCATGCAGCTGCAGTACAGTACTGCATGTGTTCCACCCAGACACGTTGCTGCTGCTGTTACAGTACATCCGTGGTGGGCCAGACTGCATTCAGATAGCTGCAGTCCATTTAGTCCCAGACTGCATTCAGATAGCTGCAGTCCATTTAGTCCCAGACTGCATTCAGATAGCTGCAGTCCATTTAGTCCCAGGCTGCATTCAGATAGCTGCAGTCCATTTAGTGCCAGATCAAACACTTAAACGTTGTGACCATAAACAGCTGCTTAAGGAAAAATGTTAAAAGATGGCCAAGTAAATAATGATCTTTTTGAGCATATCCTTTTACTTCCATTAGCTGATGATACAGAGGAGCCTCCTGATTTGGAGACTGCAGTTAGACCATCATATTTGATAGCTGCTATTAAACAACCTTTTTTTGGTATTTATATAGATCATGTAAGCTTTATTCTGTATAATATCCTATGGTGTGCCAAGAACACGTTAAATTATTTGACCATCTGAGAGAATTGTTTAATTAGGTGTCTCTTGCACTAGAAGATACTATTAAGGATTTGTGTAAGGGTTTATAGATCACTACAAAATCCTCTTTCAAGCAATCTCTTTTCAGCTGCAGACTCTTTAACTGTCCAGTTTGTGCTCTTCTGTGAACCAGTCCACTGATTCACTACCTACACATTGTGTAAGCTTGAAAGAATCTCTGTATTACATAATATTACTATTTTTGGAATTCACAGTTCTTTGTAAATGGACACCCTAGGTCCTTGCTCCAAAGAATTTGATTACTGTGAATATGGGACCGGTAGCAAAAGCCAATCCTGTTGAGAGGCACTGAAGCATGCTTAGTGTTATCATACACTTTGTATTTTAGGTAAGCCTCAACAAAAATATAAACTAGTGGGATATGAGTAGTCCACATAAAAATTATTTTCAAAGACAACTTAAGAGATGAGAAGTATGCCACACTGGTTTATAAGGCAAAATTCAGGAAAAGAGGAAATCTGTAAAAAAAATTGAAAGCTGTAGTTCTGATTGTATCACTTGGGCAAAATAGATCAGTTTGAGAAGCAACAGGGTATTCTGTCACCCCAGTTAAATTGTTCTGTTGTCCTCGGATATATATGGGTAGAGATTTCCTCTGTTCATTTAAAATCCCATGAAATACAGAGTACCATTCATTTGCCATTCACCTGCATCCCTTTGGGATCTTTTGTATTTTCTCCCTCAAATGATCTTTCCATCTCCAATTTCACCTGTTTTCTTCTTCTTCTTCTTCTGTAGCCTTCACTTGAAATGCCCATTTGTTTGTTCTGCCAAAAACCTCTCTGTTATTGCACCTTATCTTTACATTGACTCATTTGGCAAGACCCTTTCTCCCATCATCTATTTTAACTTCGGTGGCTCCTTTTCATATTAATAGTAAATTTTTATTCTTCATGTTCAAGGTCAGTTAATAAGTTCTCTGAGTCTGGGATTTTTATCTCCTCATGGGCCGATTCTGTAGTCCTTCCTTATGTGGAACTTCCCATTTCAGTGCAGCTTTAATTTATGGAAGGACTTAGAATTTATATTTTCTATAATATCATGAAAATACATAATGTTAATACTGGACATTTGGATGGATCAATAGGTTAATATTCTCTTAACTCATCTTATTTTTCTTAAGAAGTTGGTGCTTTTTTAAAGAAAACATACTAGATGAATCTCAGAGACTGTATTGGTAACAAGGCTAACTAGAAAGAAGTATGCTTGTTAAACTTTCCTACATACATCGTCTGTACTATGTTCCAAACTCTAAAAAACACAATTTCCAAATTTTCTCTCTGGAGGAGAGAGTACTTTCTGTTTTGGTTACTTCCCTTTTTATCAGAGGTGCTGTTCTGAACATGCAAAGCAAGAATGTGGAGTCTGGCTTCCCTTTAAGGCACAGTAGAAGTTAAAAAGTCTTAAAGCTTCTAAACTATATTCTCTTTTGAATGAGAGGAACATTTTTTTCTTTTCTATGTCAAGATGATGTTTGGTTGTTACTTGTGATTTCTATGTTCCTTTTTTAAATGGATTTTTTTCTGTGCTTTATTTATGTTGTGGTGGGATAGTTTTCAAAGATTAAGTGAAATGTTCTGGTGCCTGCCCTGTAGTACTGGGATTCTAAAATTATGGGCTTAACAAAGTTTTGCAGGTGCCAGAGATAAATGACTGAGACAAGACAAGAATATTTTAATAATGTCAAACTGTAACTGAAAGCCAAGCTATATACCGGTTGGAAATTAAAGGTTGTGTCCAGAGTACATTTCCTTTTGGTCCATATTTTGTGTATTATAAAAAAAAGAAGGTAATAAACCTCTGTGTAGGTCTAGTAGCCTTTGCAAGGACTTTTTTTTGTTCTGTCTGTTCAGTGCTTCTATCTCTTTTGTACTATCAATGAACCACTAGTATATAAATATAAAATTGAACAAATGGTAAGAGTATGCAGATGCTGAAAGTTTTTTAAAATGTCAGTCCATTTTGCAAAAGTAGAATTTAGAGAAATGAGATCTTGAATTCTTCTCAAAAGCATTACAAGTAAAACTCTTGTTCCCTCCTGAAAGGGAGCACAGTGGCATGGCAGTATTAGATGTAATCAAGAAAACATGATACTTTGTAGATTTAGTCCCCTATCTTAGACAAAAAACACGAGCATGAGATATATTTATTATTTCTAAATGGTGAGAAAAATAAAAATTAAATTATTTCACACTTTTTTTTCAGATTTTAACGGACAACTCCCCCAATGAACAGGGCCTAAATAAAGTGTTTGATCTGTGTGTTGTGTGTGGAGACAAAGCATCAGGTATTTGGTTTTTTCTCTCTTTTTTTTAAGGTGGTGCAATTTTATAAAGGCAGTTTAAAATTCTTCTGAAGCTGTATAACAGTTTGCCTGCATATACATGTATAAATTTCTATACATGCAGTGGAGAATTTCACTAAGTGGTACTCTAGTATCCATGGATAGAATTTATTGTTGTTTTTCATAGAATATCCTGAGCTGGAAGGGACCCTCAAGGGTCACTGACGTCCAACCCTTGGCCCTGCACAGGACACCCCAAGAGTCACACCCTGTGCTTGAGAGCCTTGTCCAAACTCTTCTTGAGCTCTGCCAGGCTGGTGCTGTGACCACTTCCCTGGGGAGCTGTTCCAGTGCCCAGTCACCCTCTGGGTGAAGAACCTTTTTCCTAAAATATAACCTAAAATCTCCCTGACCAGCTTTGTGCCATTCCCTTGGGTCCTGGCTCTGGAGGCAGTAGTCAGTGCCTGCTTGTCCATTTCCTCTTGTGAGGAACCTGCAGACCACTGTGAGGTCTCCCTTCAGCAGGGAGCAAACTCGCTAGAAAGTAAAACGTATTAAATATTTTTTTCAAAAAATTGGCAAAGTTTTACATAAAAAATACGGTTGCTAGAGCTCTAAATACTTGTCAGGCCTCATCCATCTCAAGGAAATTTCTGCCAAACTTAAGGCAAAGATCTGTTTGGTATGTTCTAATTGTTAAAACTTCTCTGACTCCCCAGAGGAGGGCTGGAGTCTCTCTTGAGGGGCTGGAGATCCAAGGAGGTTTTCCTCCTGTGCTGGCCTTGGAATATTGGGCAGTGGTAGTGACTCTGGGGACAGTGCCATGTTCCTCTGAGCAGCTGCAGGTTTTGGGGAGCCTCCCATGTGACAGGCACTGTCATGAAAACTGCTTTGCAGATACTTCCAAGCTGGAATCCAAGAAGCTACATCAAAAGAGTAAGTGAAAAAGCAGCCCTGCTACTTTGCAGAATGAATATTCATTATCCAGCTGCTACTAAAATATTTCAGACAATATTCTTTTAATACATATGATGCTTTTGAAATTTCACATTTTAGTAGTGGTAAAAAGGTTGTCATAGAGGAATCTAGAAAACCTGTCAGAATTTCTAGAAATTTCAGGAAAGAGCCTTAAAATGTTTTCTCCTAAATTAGGTTACATTTGTGATTTATTTTGTAATGTGCCATATGTATTTCAAGGATTCATAAATTAAAATTGTTGTAATGGCCAGCATGCCTTCATCAATCCTTTTTATTAGTCTTTCTATTTAATGCAAAATCAAAATAATTTACTTCTAAAAATAAAATCTTACTTTTTGTAGTATATTCTAGAATTTTTTGTATTATGTAGAAAACTTGCAGAACTGGTCTTCAAAAAAAATATTGTAATTCTTTTAGATTATTCTTTCATTGATGCTTTACTGCAAGAACTATGGACATACCATTACCCTTTTAGGAAAATGAAAGGTGAAAATAAAGCTTTGCAGTGATTGCCTCATGCTGTCAATGCCATGTTTGCACTTTCCATTGTTGCATTAGATTTAAGGCATACAATTTCAACAGCTGAAATTGTAATGAGAACTCACAGGAAAATCACTAGAGGAATCTATAAATTAATTTTTTTTGCTATGTTCTTACTGACCTGTTTTCTTAGTCTTTTTTAACACTGCTGTCAACAGATAAGGAAATAATTTGATAAGCAACTTGCTTGTTTGTAAAATCTTGTTTAAGAGCTTTGAACTGGAAAAATAGTTCTTGCTTTTTTATGTTTTATAGCCCCAGTATATTTTAAGATCTGCAATGGGAAAAACAAGTGTTCCTTTTCTGGGTAAAATAGCTAATACTTTGTCTTTAATAAATGTCAAGTCCATAAAATGAATATGATACTGTAAAATTAATGTCACATTTTCTGTTGCTTTGGAACTAGGGCGTCATTATGGAGCAGTGACCTGTGAGGGATGCAAAGGATTCTTTAAAAGGAGCATACGGAAGAATTTGGTTTATTCGTGCCGGGGAACGAAGGACTGCGTCATTAACAAGCACCACCGGAATCGCTGCCAGTACTGTAGGCTGCAGAGATGCATCGCCTTTGGCATGAAACAGGATTGTAAGTCTGAATAGGAGCAAACTGCTGCACCTGCCAGCTGCTTTGTGCTACAGAAGATATGCTTTGTATAGATACAAATTGTTATCTTGGTTACAGATTTTTAAATCGTTGTATTTTTTCCTTTTAAGGAAGTTTGGTGTATCACAATGTTAAATGCTTTCAGGTGTTTGCTTTAAAAGCCTAATGAGCTCCATCCCACAGGATGAAAGGGAATGAATTGTTACTCCTATGTGGCAAATATCAAACATGTCTGCATTTTTTTGTGCAGTTCAAGTTAAGTTACTGAACTTTTTGAACTCTCCTTTCAGTTTTTCCACAACTGAGATTGCTGTTCACTTTTGGCAAAGCTCTGCAGAGAGTTATTCACAAGGCAGAGATCTGTAGTGACCTAAAGTTCGGTTGTTACTGATGCCTGCAAATTCCAAGTTCCTCTCTAGCTTTCCATACATTAGATGTAGTGGTAGTGCAATATCACAGCAGTATCAGAATAGTAAATACACAGAAAATCACACAAAACACAAATTCTTCAGACCTAATACTGTAACACTGTTGTAGTACATACAGTATTGGTCTTGTTCTCTGCTCTCTGTCATCCTGCACTTACTTTACTGACCCTCTTGAACTTCTGTGGACATTTCCTCCTTACAGCCCTGCCTCTGTCAGCAGAAATCACTAACACAGAGGAAATTAATTCAGAAAGGGAGGAAAAGCTGGGGCAGTGAAAGTGGATCTTTACCCTCTAGTTCAGCTGGCAGTAAGTAAGAAAAGGCCCCTCCACAGAAGAGTTTTTAAGCAGAACAAAATCACTTGGCTTAGGGATCAGAAGGCAGGAAAATAATCTCTGGGTCATGGGGGAATAGTGAGTGGGAGAGAGGACTGTTTGGTGATAAGAAGTCTCGTTCCTCAGTGGGGTGGAGAAAGGAAAGGAAAGAAAACTTAACATGGTCTTGGACTGTAGCTCCCTCAGTGGGGGTTATTTGTCCCTTGAAGAAGCCTTGGCCTTTTCTCAGCAAAGTGAGAGATACTGAGCACAGCATTTACAAAGGAAGATTAAATACTTGCCTCCATCTCCCACCCTTTAAAGCACTATTTGTGGGTTGCAGGCTGACTTCAACAGCATTGTCAATACTTAAAATTACAACATAGGGGGTTTAAGATGCTTATCAGTGTGACAATTTGAATAGCATCACAGTCTACTGCTATCTTGAAAGGTTTTTAATTTTTTATCTGAAGTTACACATTTTTCACATTTCCACATTCTCCCTATAGAGGGTAATACTGTAAGTTTTATTTTAATGTTCAAACCAAGATGATATATTTGTGGGCTAAAGCCCCAGTTCATTCCACCTTGTTTCACTGAGTCATTCAAATTAAAAAATCCACTTATTCTCTGAAGTCAGTGACTGTGAGCCAGGGTCTTGCCCAAATTTATCTTAAATGGTCTGAACTCAACTTTGTGAATGTGCCTTTCCCTCTGTATTGTCTGAGGTCCTAACCTGAGAAGCTTCATTAAGTGGATGAAGTTATATGGGTTCAACACAGACCCGCAGTCCATGGAAAAACATACCATGAGTCCTTTACAAAGGAAGTGAGAGTGTGAGATAGTGAAACTGAGAGAATGCGAAACTTTAAGCTGCCACTTTGATTCAAGATAAAAATGAGGGGATGTCTCCCTTAATTTTATCTTTAAAATGTTGCAATATGTTCCATCTCAGACTTTGACTACTACATCATTTCACTTAGAACTCATCAAGTTGGTGTGCTGGTTTTATCCAACTTGTTAGCTTGTAGTTATGGGATATATTTAATATATATATATTAGCTATTTTCAGGATTATTATTAAAAACAAATATTAAATAAAGAAGAAAGTATTATTTCTTATTCTGTAATTCAGGGTGATTTAACAGTTGGATATTATTTCTGTAGCTGTACAGTGTGAGAGGAAACCTATTGAAGTGTCAAGAGAAAAATCTTCGAACTGTGCAGCTTCTACAGAAAAGATCTACATTCGGAAAGATCTCCGTAGCCCATTAGCTGCAACCCCAACTTTTGTAACAGACAATGAAACAGCAAGGTATGTAAATTGTATTCAGAAGTGGCTATCTCTATCTTCTAGAAAAAAAAATTACTGAATTTTAAAATTAATCAAAATTAAAACCTGTGCTGTTTTCTGTCAGATCAACGGGTTTACTGGAATCAGGAATGTTTGTTAACATTCATCCGTCTGCAATAAAAAGTGAACCTACTGTGCTGATGACTCCAGATAAGGTATGTGATGATATGACTGATATAACAAGTAGAGCTAATTGCTGTAATGGTATATATATGTAAGGAGAGAAGGGTGTTCTATTTGGTTAAATTAATTTTTAAAACACTCCTTTACAACATTCACCACTGTTACAAATGCCTTCTCTTTACAAGAATCCTCTTAGCATCACACAGTAAAAACACTGAAAACACAACAAAGTAAATGCCATTCCTTCACATTTTTAGGAGCCTTAAGGGCAGTATTGTTTTAATTTTTGTTTTGGGATAATCCTGACACTTGCCCTGCTCTTTTGTACAAATGAAGTGAAGCGTTCACAACTTCTTATGGCACTTTTACACACTATCACAGTGCCATGTGTAAATACGGTTGGATATGTTTTTCTCCTGAATCACTATTTTTTTGGCAAAGCTGATAAGATTTATCTCATCAACAATTTTATTTATGATCTATTTTTCCTTTGTTTCCATTTTGTTGCACTTACTGATCCACTAAAGTCATGTGGTAGCTTCTTCACATATGGCACAGTATTTGTGTTTTTCTAGCTGATATTCAATTACCTCATGTGCGAGAATGGAGATAGTGCTGCAGTCTTGCTCCTGATAAGTTGCAGCTGTGTAAGACAGGTAAACAGCACTGAAGGAGAAGCAGCATGGAATGCTGATGTGTATTGACCAATCACAAAAGAGTAAAAGGGCAGGCAGGTGTTATGCATGTGAGAGAAAAGATGTAAAGAGTTAGGAGGAGAGAGGTGGTGTTAGAACTAGCAGGTTGTGCTGTGAGAGGAAGGGGTCTGTATTGCCTGGTGCTGCTTGTGGGATTGTAACAGAGAGAAGGTGTGAAGGCTTTAATAAACTGCTGATGCTTTCTACCATCTTTGGTGCTAATCTTTTGAGTCCTCTGTCAATCAGGGGAAGTTTTTAGATAACAAGGGACTGGCACTGGTGTCAGTCGTGTGACCACTGTCTGATTGGTGCCCTGTTTTAGGGGTGAGTGACAACAAATGGTACCCTGTGTGAAGAGTGACCAATGGCACCCTCATGCTGTTTTCATGTATTTTGCTTTGCTTGTTCTGTCTGGTGTTAGCAGCAGCACACTTGTCTGTAATAATGTACTTTTTTTTTCTTTTCTTTTGCTGGGATAGAGTGGGACACATCTTACTGCTTCTCTGAGTTGCTAAACAGTACTGAATCACTTTTTTCCTTTGCAGTTTAACAAAGACATAAACACCAAAAAGGCTACAGCATAATTCTTTTTATGCTTGTTTATAAAGGTGACTTTTCATTAATTCCTTCTTCTCATTCTCCTCCCCTGTTACTACTGACTCATTTACATGGCGAAGGAAGATGCTAAAAATATAATCTAGAGCAGTCTTATATTCCTGGTGATAGACGAGTGCATAGAGATGTGAAATCTTTCTGCACTTGCTTACCATCAGTAGTATTCTTTCTGAAAGAAATAGATAGCTATTACTTTTACAAGTAAATGTCAAAGTATTCCATATTTTTGATGCAGTGCAGTGTCTGATGGCTGTATTGTGGTTACTTATGTACTGCAAACAGTTTTCTTACAGGTAGATCTTTATATATGCTCTATTCTTCATTTATGTGAAAGCTAGGCTCTTCTCTTGCAGGTTTACTGCTGCCAATTATCTGAGAATTAAAAGCTGTTCTTTTCCTTTAGGTAGAAGCATGTCAAGGAGATTTAAGTACACTGGCAAATGTAGTGACTTCATTAGCAAATCTCAGTAAATGCAAAGACGTCTCACAAAGCAGTACAGAGCTATCCATGATTGAAAATTTGAGTAATGGAGATGCATCATTATCTGAACTCAAGCAAGAAGAACAAGCTAGTAGTGATGTTACAAGGTAAGGCATATTACACTTAAAAATACTATCCTTTTCAAGGTCTCTGTCAATTCAGACCAGACAATTAGTTAAATCATCACAATGTAGGAAATTTATCTGCTTTAAAAGTAATAGTAATATCAGCATAAGCTCATGTAGAAGGTAAATATTGTAAGATTCTTCCAAGTGCAATTAAAAAAAAATTCCATTACAGAAATAAATCGTTTTAGTTGTTTGTACTTGAAATTGACTTCAGTGTAAATGTTACAGCTGATTTTCTTATCTTTTGGTTGGCCTTGCTAAGGTAGGTCTTAGTTAGGTCTTGTACTGTAGTCTTAGTACTTTGCATCATCCTGGAAAACTCGTTCTTGTTCTTAAGAGATCTCATCTGTGTTAAGTGCCTGTAACTATTAATCACCTTAAAAGCTTGAAAAGCAATTTCCTCCTAACAAGAGAAGTTAGAGAATTCTCACTACCAATATTAATGCATTCACTAAGTATCTTACAAACTTGTGTTCAGCACTGGTTTTAACTGAGCTGCTGTGGTGATCATATGTGTAAGATGTATATACAGAACATTCAGAGTTTTTCCATCAGTCACAATCCTGTTGGTTGTCATTTCATGCAAGATTCTGACTGCTGTCCCAGCAATATTCTTTTACGCACCACCCACATTTTACATTCTGTTCTGAAAGTGTGTGTGGAGTAAATCTGTTTAGGGGAAAAAGGTGGGCATATAGTGGCTGAAAAATCTGATTTCCCCTGTGGTCTCTACTGCTTTGTGTAATTGCAAGCAGATTACTTTTTTTCTGTTCCTTTCTTTATATACTGCTTAGAAAGTCAGTCTGACTTCTTATAGATGCTGATTTGGGCCCTTGCTGTGTCCTCCTCAGTAAAGAATGTTAGAATATGCCGTGTAAGTGATATTGTTACATGTGCTGATAGCCATCATTCAGTACTATGGCTGTTCAGAGAGATGTAGTAATCTTTCATTTGCTGGGACTTCCAGATGCTTATTTTTACCAACTTCAGGGTTTCTGTTCAGTTCTAAAAGTCTGTCTGTAAAAGGCATCTGGGTCTCTCAGCCAGAGAGCTTGAAAGAGCTCTGACTTGACACACATACTCTTGTCAAGTAGGTTACCTAATAGCTATACCTAATAGCTAGTTAAATATTGCTGTGAAAGGGAAGTTGTTATTCCAAGAGAAACTAAAAATTTTCTCTGAATTACTGAGTTCCCTGTCAGGCCCTATGCCAGCATGATCTAACAGACACAGATGTTTATTGAGGAAGAAGAGTTTAAGGGACTTCAGAGAGCACATTTCATCCATCCATGCTTTTCATGTATTTTATTCATTGCTTGCAGTAGTTACTATTTCAGTTTTGCTGCAAACAACTCATTGCTTTTATATTGTAATTTTATGTCCTTTGTTCTCTAATGCTTCATGATAGTATTTCTTTACAGTTTATCTGCAGTCTTATATATCTGTTGATGACTGAGCCTGACAAAAAGAGAACCAAAATTATCTGTAGCAAAGGATATCAATACAATGTATTTTAATGTTGATTATGCCTCGTTTTCTCACTTTGTGGGCTAGATTTTCATAGCTCCCAGGCAGGCTTTGTTCTAGATTCTCCTTTTCCTGGTGTTTTACCTTACAGACCTTGCTCATGGTGGGGCTTTATGTAGGAAAGGACTCACATTGCTGAGCCATGAGGAAGCAAAGCTGCTACTGCCTTCTGCTGGCTTACTACTGGCAATTAATGAGATAGGAGGGAGAAGATTTCTTTGAAAGTAACATTGAAGAATGACTTGGGAGGAAAGTGTCATGGACAGACATGGTTAACAAGTGTGCATGCCCACACTATTTTTCTAGCACTCTTCAGTCTGTGCTAGAATAAAGACAAGATAGTGACAGATGCATGTGACATGTACCTTTTGGGGAAAGGGGAAGTCTTGTTCTCTTAAATTTCTGTCCCTGCCACATGAAGAACCCTGCAGAGATCCTGGTGTTTCTTTAAAAGCTGTCACTGAGCTGCTGTGTTTGCCTGTTTTACCTAAGACTGCAGAGTGAATTATGGAAGACCTGAAACTCAGATCTTCTAGCAGGAGTCCATAGTATAGTTTCTAGAGCTGAGCCATGAATGCCTTCCTTTTGTGCCAACTTTGTGCATACCAGAGACAGAAGATGGCCCAGGTATGTCTGTATAGTCCACTTGCATATGCCCTAGTCACCCTGGTGTGTATACATCAAGGTACACAGGCTAGTGAGGCCCAAAAAGCAGTGCATTGACCATCCCAAGCCTTGAGGCAGTGTGAGCAGCTCTTTCCCTGTGATATTTCATTTGGTTGTGCATAGTCATGTTAAACAGCTAGATTTTTATTTTTTTTTAGCGTGTTAGTGAATTCATGTAGCTAGAGAGAGTGTGGGGGTAGAGAAGCTGGCCAAGTTCTATACCAGATTTTGGAATTAAATCAGTGATTTTAGACTCTGTGGTAATAAACACGTCTATAAATTGAGAATGAGCACTACATACATCAGCTTTTGTAAAGTTTTCTGGCCTCAGTGCATGAGTTTTTCATTGAATACTGTATAGAAATGTTGCTGTTCCCAGGATATGTCATCTGTCTGTAGGCAGTGATGATGTCTGTATTTTTGATTGAAGGTGTGTCAGTTGTAGTTCTCAGGTGTATTCATGAGCAGAAAAACAACACATGTTATCAAGCAGCCAAATACTGAGTAATACATCTGTGCTTGTCCTGACATCTGCCCTCTGGAATTTGTGCTTGTGACAGCCAAGAGTCACTGCCATGCAGCAGAGGGTACTAAGGGTTGTATTGAAAGCATGGGAGTGCTTTCTCTTACATATTTTGAAGCAGTCTTTTCAAATTAAGTTGAAAAATCTAACTACAACTCATTACTTAAAAAAAATAATATTTTACTCTGTTTGTGCTTCATGTCAATAAAGCCTGTAAAATTTATATATGTACTAAGTTACTGTAACAGCAGTCTAGTGATCATGTCCTCAAAACACTCATGCCAGCACTCTCAGTGAACATCACTAAAGAGATCCTGAAAAGCAAACTGTGATTCAGCAGCACAACCAATATGTCAAAACTGTGAATTTGTTGGCAACTAGTGTAAACAGGATCTGCTGCTAATTTTTGTTTCAGAGTTCGATGGAATGTCAGGAAGAGCATGCCTGCTGCCTTTTATTTTCCAAATCTCACTCTTTGAAACAGACTTCTATATACAGGTTTCAGACTTGTGCAGGTTCCTTTTAAATTGAAACGGTCTCTAAAATTAAATTTTCTTTTTGTTTGTTTGTGATCTTACAGGGCATTTGATACTCTTGCAAAAGCACTAAATCCAGGAGAGAGTGCAGCATGCCAGAACTCTGAAAGCATTGACACCAGTGCACAGCTGCTTGGGGGAGAAACAAGCATGAACATCGTGGAAATAGAGGGGCCACTACTCAGTGATGCTCATGTAGCATTCAGGGTACTGAATACTTTCTTACTGTTGACTGTTTGTAACTGTTTTGGCATAGTGATGTACAATAATAACCTGACCAAGCTTTATTTTGAATTTCTTAGAGGAGTATTTGTTCAGGTATTAGCATTAATTTCCAGTTAATAAACTGCTTTTGTTCGCTGCTTAATTCTTTGTTTGGGTGAAAGTCCTGCACTCTGCAGTGGTTTAGCTGCACTGGTTATTTTATAGTTACTTACCTTAAAAATACTGGGTAAGCCATACAAAAGGATTTGCATAGACAAAGTATTTGCATGGAGCAGAGTCAGCATTTCCTTGCATGAAGCAGAGTCAGCATCCACATTCTCACTTGAATGGGTGGATCTGATGCAATCTGCAGCTGGATTTTGAGACCTTTAAGTGAATCTGTCACTTTCTTGTTTTTGTAGATACCCTATTTTAGCATGCTAGAAATTGACTTAAATACAGTTGCTGTGTTAGTTAGCCATATATTTTCTGGATTTATTTCTCATTTTACAAGGTTGCAGGAATTCCTTCTATCTTTTTTTTTTCATCTTTTATATCCTTATTTTTCATGGATATATCAAAAAGCTTGGTCATCTGAAAACTCAGTAACAGGCATTTGGTTAAACTTTACCCCTTTTACAAGCATCTGTTTTGATCATTCCAATGAACATCTCTAATGCAAATGTCAGCATTTTCTTTAAAACTGCATTAGCCAGAACATTATATTAAAAAATATTAATTTCTGAAGACAGAATTACATGTTCTAAGCTATTTTGGGTCGAATCTCTTTCTTCACATGTGCAGGTAACATCACTAATTTTACTTACTAACTATTGTGAAGGGTCCTTTCTGATATATGTTTGTTATATTTTTTGGACTTGTGAGGAGCTGTGTATTAGGTATTTTGCTCAAACATAAAAAGATTTCTCTTGTATTTCTTTGTAAAATATTAATTAAAAGTAAAATAAAAGAAGATTATTTGTGAACTAGGATTCTCACACACACATTCTCTCTCTCTCTCTCTCTCTCCAGGAGTTGTAACTCCTCTAATGTAAGCAACTTCATTCCACTTAAAATGATTCTTCTCTCTTACTCTTTGAGAATGTCTCGGAAGTTGAGTTTTGAGATTTTCCATTTCCAGTTGTCCCAGACATGAATCTCCATGAACGAATCAAACTTTGTCTTTTTTGTTGCTGTGTAGTTATTTAACATACAGTGTGTAATGGTGTGACTAATAATGCAAAAGGGAGTCATTCAGTTTTATTGGGATTATAACTTATTTTATTTTTTCATTTACAAGAAACTCAAAAGACTGATTTCTTCCTAAATGTATTATGAAGAAAATAAAAGAACTCTTACACTTTCTTCTTTTTTTCCTACTTTTTTTTCTTTTTTTTTTCTTTTTTGCAGCTCACCATGCCTTCTCCTATGCCTGATTATCTTAATGTTCACTATATTTGTGAGTCTGCCTCCAGGTTGCTTTTCTTGTCCATGCACTGGGCACGTTCCATTCCATCTTTCCAAGCTTTGGGGTAAGTGTTCCATTTATTCACTTACGTTGTGTACATGTGCTTTTGAATTCCTGGATTTTGCTGGCTTCTTCAGGGACTTGTAAAAATATAAAACTACTAATTAAACCTGTTATAAATCTTAATTGTAAGGTAAATTTTCAGAATTAAAACTACTCCAAATTTGAGTCCAAATTCAGGACTTGGTTGGGTTTTGTAAGAAAAAGGAGTAGATTTAAAACAATCAAACACCTTCACACTGCTGCTTCTTAAATATTTTGAGAAAATAGGAATTTCTATCAGCTTTTTAATAGCTACAGCTCTGTGCTTCATCCTGATGCTTATCAGGCAATCACCAAAAAGAAGCTCCTGTCTGAAATTTTTATCCTTATAAGGTGAATTACTAGTAATAATCTTGCCTTTAATAACCTACATGAAGAAAATGGTTTGCTAGATTCAGCAGACATTCAGAATGAAGTTGTCTAGTTTCAGAAGATTTGCCAAAAATAATTTGCTCCTGTAACCAAAAGGTAATTCTAACTGTTCTTTTTATAGTTTGTATAGCATCCTGCTTCTCCATCAGAATTCAATGTATCACTTAGGTTCAGTTTTGTAGTCCATTGCTGATCATCATTAAAACAAAAATGTCCAAACTACATGGGAAAAACTGATTTATCCTATATTCGGAAGTAATTTTATGAAGATACAAATAAAGATACTGTATCAGGTCTGACACAAATGGTCGAATAAATCATGATAGTTTGTTCTCATCTCAGTGTTTCTGTTTAATTCAATATCAAAATAGCCTGTGGCTGTGGCAGAAAAGAGAATTCCTTATTTAAAATGGGGGATTGTCCCCTTTTCTAGGCAAGCTGTCAAAAGCAGGATGATCTGTGATTACCATTTATGTTTACTCAGATGCTTCAGCCAAATTATTCTACACTTTTTAAGGAAAGATACTGCATTGTGTGTAATTAAGCCTTTGTATTGGAGAAGGACAAAGGAATATTGTATAAAGTTAAAAAATAGTAGGGGTAAAAAAATAGTTAAATATGATGTTTTGTTCTGGTAGAAATTGTTGACCTGCAGAATTACAAAATGCATAGCAAATAGACATAGTACATTATGTCAAAAGGTTTTGGTTACAGAGAGACAACTGCAAATTAGCACAAATTGGTATTCTAATAAAAAATGGGAATTGCTTCTTAAAAATAAAATGTAGTACAGAAGACCTCTTTCGCCAAAAAGATTTAGCAAGAAAAATCTGCACCTGCTCTTTTTATCTGTTACTTCACAATATATTTTTCTGCTTAAAAAATGTGGAGGAGTAAGCTGCCATAATAGTGTTAATATTCACCTGTAATAGCATTTATAGACCCAGTCAAGATCATGGGCAACAGTATATAAATAACATAAATTCAGTTTCTCTTTGAAGCGCCTAAAATGCAAACTATTTTCAAGTAGAGATGTATTTGAAATTAATGCACCCTTTATAGTTGGAGTACATTATATCCTATAATTTTGGCTTTCAGAAGAGTGACTCATTTCACTTTTAAACTGAAGAGAAATTCATGGAGCATGATGAGTAATGATTTTGTAAGGAAGATGGATAATTGTACCTAGGTTGTTTCCTCCTCAGGCAACATTCTCCTTTAGTCACAGCAGGATAGTTGCCTTTGACCTAATGATGTAGTTAATAATGCCAGATATTGATTAGCTCATCTTCCTGCATGGGCATTTTTGTTCTTAAGAGAGTTTCCTACTGAAACCATCACCAAGCTGGTAACAAGCTGGTTACAGTTTTGTGAGGCTGCTTAAGCAAACTTAAGAACTGGTTCTGGTGTAACTTTGATCAGCCATAAAGATGCTGTAGTTGATATTTTTATCTACACACACAAATCAGAGGAGTAGCCAGTACACCGTATTTCCAATGGTGCTCAGCACAGTCCCTCTGATTATGTTAAAGGAGGTGAACAAAGATGTGACCAATATGTGCAGAAGCTGCATGTACAGTATCAAGTCTACCATAACAAGAACTTGATCAGAATGGAAATAGTGCTCTCAGTAAGCTCTTTGTAGTCCAGTTAAGGACGGTTCTGTGTTCACCAGTCATTTGGCATCTTAGGATTGCACTAAATCATCAGAACTGTTCCTGAAGATTATATCTGCATTCTTCAAAAATCCATTCCACTGTATTTTTGTAGTTGAAATCCTGGCTTTAATATGCTTTTCTTCTTTGATAGATCTTGTACTTCTTTTAAATTTCCATTACTTGTATTCACTGGCTAAAACTGAAACGTCTTACCTGAATTTGGCTCCTTTCTGGTGGGATTTGCTTTCTAAGGTACTGAGGTCTTGTTAAGCTCTGTGAGTTAGAGCTGCTTGGCATAACTAAAAGTTAGGTTACTAATATGAAAGTGGCTGAATATGAATTGATATCTTTTATTTTAAGCTGCAGCAAATAAATCCTTATGACTGCTATTTATACTTTGAAGTCTGTATTTCAGACCTTATTCCAAACTTGAAAGGGATGCAGACAGTAGCAGCCAGGAAGCTCAGAAGCTTGATCACACATGTTCCATGTCACCTCTATCTTTAATTAAAAAATTATACCAACTTGTCAGTTTTCAAGTGGAAAAAAACCCCAAAACCCGTGAGTCTGTTCTATGTCTAAATAGAGGAACAGTGCAATCTTTTTTTGCCCATGCATACAAATGTTGTCCCAAATCCTAAGAAAACTAGTATGGTGGAGTACACTGTGACAGTTGTCATTTACTGTAACTTCAGCTTGCTTTTGTAATAGAAATCTATCTCCTTTTAGGTCACTTAAACAAAAATGTATCGCTTTACAAAAATCACTTTAAACAAGGTATTTTAATTCTAGCATGCAAAGTAAAATGATGCGGAACTTCATTTTGGTGTTGGTTGTAATGATTGAATTAGATTAATGTTTTATGAAGTGTTCTTCAGATTTAAAAAAATGTGTGAATGCAAATGGCTGGTTTTATTAACTTATTGTGCTTTTCAATAGACAGGATAACAGCATATCATTAGTAAAAGCCTGCTGGAATGAACTTTTTACGCTTGGTCTAGCACAATGCTCACAAGTTATGAATGTGGCAACGATCTTAGCTGCTTTTGTTAATCACCTTCAAGGCAGTTTACAACAAGGTAAGGTGTATACTGTGCACATTGCAGACTTGGGGAATTACTTGATATTTTTTAAACTCTGAAGTGCACAGAAGCTCGCTATTTATTCTTCAGTTGTTATTGTAAATTTACTATTTAAAGGATTTCATGTTAGTATTGAAACAAAAGGATACTATCAACTACAGTCCCCAAGATAGAATATTTTAGCAATTTTGCAAAAGTCAGCTATTATAATATTTAACTCCAAATTTTTTTTTTTAATTTTTGTGTTTTGTATTGTCTAATAGTGTTCTGCTGTCTGTTAATATCATCAGCCCAAATTAGGAATATTTTGGGCAGCATCAGTGTTAAGAACACAGGAGTACTGTGAATATGATTCCTCTGTATGAAGGATACAAAGTAAAGAATGACCCACCTGTCCTTGTTCTTCATAGCTGTGACACAAAGCAGCTAAATGCCAACTTGGTGATACAGTTCCTTTAGATAACTTGGCTTGTTGACTTCCATGTATTAGTTTTAGTCTGCATGGAAGTCGTCAACAGATCTCCACTAAGTACACTTTGTTCCTTGGTAATCCTATGTCCTGCATCTTTGGCATATTTTTCATTTAAATGAAAGACATATCAGTTTGCCTCTTTTATGATAAGGTAATTAAAGAATTATTTCCAAGGGGTTTTTGTGATTTAAAAACATCCACAAGATCCTCCTGTAAATAACAATAGCTTAAAACAAGCGAGTCAAATAGTGAGATGTACTGGAACAGCTAACAAATCTGATTGTCTCTAGCAGATAAAAATGGAATCTGGAAATTTTAGTCTATGTAATAGTAATTTATGTTTACCAGAAAGGGTATTGTAGTAACTAGTCGCATTTTTATCGTTATTAAAAATACGTATTTCTGCCATTTAAACTGGGAATCCAGGTTGACTGCAAAGATCAGTTGTGCAGTCTGCCAGCTGCAGTATCTCCAAGAGATATCAAGTTTGTGGATGGGTTATGGGTTTTTGGGCTGCTTTGCTATTGCTGACTCAAGGGGAACAGCTCTGCACCAACCATGTTCCCCTCAGTGTAAATCAGGGGAGGTGAAAAGTTCTCCTTTCCCAGCAGTGGCATGGTCTCTGACTAAACCACCCACAAAGCTGGACACTGTCCTGCCATGTGGCACCTGATCCTTAGGCACAGAGCACAGGTCAGCATTAGCAGTGCATGCTTTACTTATAAGTAGTTCGTTCCTTCCTTCATCATTTCAAGCTCTAGTCCATGCCTCATAACTTGGAAGCATTAGCAGGAAGAGCCTAATTGGAAAAGGTGGAAAAAAAGAGAGTTAATACTCCCTAATTGCTGGTGTCAGGATTATTCAGACCTAATAGGAATTTTTACATGGCATAGATTTCCCATTGTTTGAATCTAATAAAAAATATTATTTAAATTCCAGTGTGAACACATTTTTGCATGTGTGTTAACTTGGGAATTTTTCTTACGTGTGTCTTGATTTAGATAAGCTGCCAACAGACAGAGGAAGACTAGTAATGGAGCATGTCTTCAAATTGCAAGAGTTTTGTAACAGCATGGTTAAACTGTGTCTGGATGGGTATGAATATGCATATTTGAAAGCAATTGTCCTCTTCAGTCCTGGTAAGTAATTATTCCAAATGTAACATTTTAATCTGTGCTATTTATTTCTGCATACCTGTTTCATTATATGCAGTTACTGCCTCATTTCTTGAGCAATCTTGGAAGGTTTGTGAGGACTGTAGGAAGAGGAGGGTTAGTCTTCTAATGTAAATAACTGAAGGTTGCATTGGGGACTTTTTTTGCGGGGAGAGACTTTGATTCTTTTTATTTGTAGATTTTTATTCGTGGCTGTGCCACTTATGCTTTTGGTTGTTTGGGGTTTTTTATTTTCATTTATTTATTTATTGCTTTTAATTCTTGAAAACTATCTTGAAAACTATGAAAAACTATCTGGGCATCAGTTCTCACATTCAGAATTACAGAAACATCACCTCTCCCCCACACAGACAATGCATAAGCATTTCTGGCAAATGAGCACCACAAGCATTCACTTATGTTATTATTTCTGTTTTCTAAACAGTATTTGCTTAATGTACTCTCAGTAGCATTACTAGACATACATTAGACAGTGAAGGTAATACAACTTTATTTCCCTTCTGGGTGATTAGTGTACAATAGGGAGGAAAGAGTCCTCTGGTTATGGTAGGTACTTACTGAGTAATTACACTGTGTATCCCATATGCCTGGATGTAGAAAGATACAAAATTAATTTTCTTACTTGGAAGTTGCAAAATTAACTTTTCACAAAAGGCGTATAAGTATTGTATCAGCATCCTGCAGGCCTTAGATTTATCATTCAAAATTGGGATTTAATACAAAGCCAAATCAAGTCTTTTGATGAAAGAAAAATGTGCAAATCTCAAGTACTTCCTCTGTCTCCAAGAGTTTTTCACTCTCACATTTAGAAAGTGTGGTCAGTTACTCCGTTTCACTTTAGAATGGGTTAAAAGCACCAGTATATTCCTTAATCTTATTGCTCTGCCTTTTGTAGATGCTGATGTCCTGTAGAAAAGATTGAAGTGGATGTTAAAATGCTCACAGGATCTTAATGACCTCTGTCAGTAGTGTAGGACATGGAGGAGATCTGGGTGTTTGGTTCTTGTCAGTTCTGTAGGGTTATTAGATCCAAGAAGAACTTTCTTTTTGCATTCAGTTACAGTTCACCCTTACACAGAAAAATTAGTTGAGCTGAGAAAATCTTTTAGAACTTGGACACTTCCAAAATGTAAATTTTAAGCAGGTTTTCTAATATTGTGATGTTCTTGCTTTGCAGTTTCCCTCAGATTTTCATTGTCTTTTCTATATGTAGTATCTACCAGTAAAAGTGGCAGCATCAGCAGGAATTCATGGTATTCATCAGTGTGCAAACAAAACCCTGCATATCTTATAGTTACCTATATATATATATATATATATAATTATATATATATATATTTATTGCAGTATAGAAGACTTCTGAGATGACAGACATTCATGCAAATAAAAAGTGATATGAGTAGAGTCAGAACCCTTCAGAAAAGATGATAAGCTTCCAGAGGAATTCCTATTGTGATATTTTTCTATTGTGGGTCACTGAGGAAAATCAGATCCTGGGTGTTTTACTCCAAGACGTAATCCTGCTGTCAGTCCTTATGACCAGGAGAGTCTTGCGTGGTTCTGTGTGTTTGCTTGTACAGTTCACTGTATCACTGCAACACTTTCAGTGATAAGCAGGACTCACCATTAAACCCACTCAGTTTAAACACAATGTTAAGCATGCTTGAAAATCTTTGCAGTTTTCCTTTTCTGCTGAAGATTGAACAGTTCCAAATACACCATTATTACAGAAGAGACTTTCTCTAAGTGGATGGTTGGTGGGTGTTTGCTGGTTTAATTTTAATAAATAATACTTGCAGGAGATAGAAATCTTTTGCAAGTGTTCTTACCCCAAAATAATCCTTTTCATGGCATTCCTATACAAAGAACTGTTTTGTTTCTTTCTTTGGGAAAGAAACAAAATTATGGGAGAATGCCTCAAGTCCATTTTTTAAGAATTATGTCCACTAGGATTTATGATAGAATCCTCTGGCCTGTGTGGAAAAATCAATCCCATAAGACACCAAAAAATACTTCTTGAGGAGCCTTGCACTTGCAAAGTAGTACTTACCTATTTGTTTAGTCTGAAGTTTGTGTCCTTACAATTATATTTGACAACACAAAAGGTAGAAGAAAAAATACCTTGGAAAATACTCTAGTCCAGTCACATGATTGAGAGAAATTTTCTTTAGCTGATGTTTTCAAATTCACATTACTAATGAGTAGTTGCTTTAATGGCAATGTGTTGTTAGGACTCTTGATCCTTAAGCCATATAACAAAATCTTCCTACATGTGAGAGTCATGTTTGAGGTACCTTGAACAGAAGGGATGACCTGGCAGTGACTCACAGGCCAGAAATAATAATTGCAGGGATTTTACTGCTGTGCTGCAGGAGGGGGCTGGGCTGTGCATGCAGCAGAGCCCTAAGATAAGAACCTCTGCTTTAGTAGGCCCTGGTGGTTCAGCTGTGCCAAGCCAGCTGTTTGATTGCCACAAGACAGCCTTGGACAAGGAGATTATGTAAAGGGTGTGCCAAGACGACTTGACATCTTTCTAAATGGCTGCAAGTGTACAAGCAGTGGTCTTCAAAAAACTCTGTCCAGAAGCTGACTTCTTGCTGTGTTCCTGACATGCCTCTAAAAGCAGCAGCACAAAGTGATGCATTTTGCATGTCAACTCTAACTCTTCATCTACATGATTTATCATGCTACCATGACAGTAAAATTTTTACATTCAGATAGATGGATAACAAAATTACATACCATGTAGAGAGTTCAGAATTACTACCTAATAATTTCTGAGAGTGACTTGGCGGTAAATTGATGTCCTTCCATTTTAGCAACACTTACATTTTGTGTAAGTTCAAATCACTGCTAAAAATTATGATTAGCACATTAGAAATTTTTGTACCAAATAGTTGGAAAGAACAGTCTGCTACATACAAGCCTATCTGAATTCAGAAAGCATTTGGACAGTGCTCTCAGGCACAGGGTGTGATTCTTGGGGTGTCCTGTGCAGGCCCAGGAGTTAGACTCAATGATGGGTCCCTTCTAACTCAGCATATTCTATCATTCAGTGTGTTTTGTGCATGTCTTAGGAAACAGTTCACAGCTTTTTATTCTGCTTCTTCCACTGATCTTAATTTTATACTTCACATTTCACCTAAATATTACTTGTGCATCCAGTGTTCCAGAAAGTGTCAGTGTGTTGAAACAATCCTGTTTTACTGCTACACAGAGAACAGAATTGTATCATCAAGACTGACATAAACATTGTAAACACTGAATTTATTGGAACTCTTTCAAATGTCTGGGTTTATTTATGGAAAGTTAAGTAAAATATAAATGTAAAGAAAGAGAAATATAAGGGGGTGAAGTAGTGTCCACAACTAAAACTAAAGTTGCTGCAGCTACCACATAATTATTTCAGTATGTTGGCAACTGGATAGTCTGTATGGATGTTAGTTCATTTTCTATAGAATGAGTACAACAAAGAAGAGGGTGTTTTTTTTTCAGATCACCCAGGTCTAGAAAATGTGGTACAGATTGAGAAATTTCAAGAAAAAGCTTACATGGAGTTCCAAGATTATGTAACAAAGGCGTATCCGGATGATACCTACAGGTCTGTAAACTTAGATGCTTATTTGATTGATTCTCTTTTCAGAATCACTGATTTGTACAGTTTTTGATGTAATAGATATATACATTTTCTTCTTACCTCATTAAAATTAAGGAATTACCTTTAGAGCACTTAAAATATTATGCATGTGGTCAAACATATTATGTGTAGTATTTTTCATCTCATTATTACTTTCTAAAATTAAATATCCAAAATAAATATTAGTAGCATGCAATTTGAGTTGCATCTTTTTGGAATATTTCCTTATTTAGTCTCAATCCAAACATACATAGTACACGTAGTTGACAGACATTTGCACATTTTCTGTACTGTTCATAAATTTAATGCTATTCTGATTTAAATATTTAAGCCTTTAATGAACTAGATATGGTAAACTTTGACCAGTAGTGTCCCTTGTAATTTTTTTCTCTTCTTTTGCCAATAATATCATGGAGAACAACAGCAAAATCTGTGATTTACTGAGTAACGCTTTTCACCAAATTTATTTTCCAGGCTATCTAGACTTCTTCTGCGATTGCCTGCTCTCAGGCTGATGAGTGCTGCCATCACTGAAGAGCTGTTCTTCGCAGGACTGATTGGCAATGTTCAGATTGACAGCATCATCCCATACATTCTGAGAATGGAGACAGCAGACTACAACTCTCAGATCATAGGTCATGGTGTGTAAAAGGAGCGGTCCAGGATTCTGTACCATGGCAATCATGGTGATGTAAATGCATACCCTGTCTCCAAGAGATGGTCGTAAGCCTTCCAGTGCACCTTTCCAAAGAAGGCTCATATTCCTCCTTTCCAGTACACTTGGGAAACGTGGTGGAGTGTATTAGGATATAGGATCCCTTCCTGTTCTTCATCTGTCTTCAAGGACTTGTAAATTAACTTGCTATCTGAAGAAGGTCAAGAATTGTCCATCCTATTTTTGTAGGTAGACGGACTTGGAATATTTGTTTATGAAGTTCAGGCTTATGAGGAAACTGAAGAAGCTTTGATTGAACTAAGGTATCTCAACTTAGTTTGATGTTTTAGACAAATAAATTAACTTTCCTCTCTGAGCTTTGTTTTCAGTGTTTTGCTGCTAGTTCTTTTTCATGTATCAAATGGAAAATACATAATCAAACACCCTGAAAAGGCCAGTTTCCATGCAGACAAGACCCAGCTTAATTTTGGCTGTTGTTTTGAAGAGTGATTTTTTTCCTGCTGGATTAAACACTGGATACCATACCCCAAGTGCAGGGAAATAGAAGACATTCACATTTAAAAATATTCTGATGTTAACATTGATGCAGCTGATCAAAACAGAAGCAGCAAAGAGTCAGTAGTGACTGTTTTGCAGATGCAACAGAATACTATATTTTAACAATAATGTGGTAGACATCAACTGTTTTATACTATGAAAAACTAACAGAGAAGTGTATACTGCAGGCATTCAAAGACAGCACACTTCTGCTTTTTCTGGTCTCAGAGCTTTCTCACACTACCCCTCCCTCTTTAACACTCAGTGCCCAGTGATGGAGGCATTCTAGATGCCTCAACTTTTGTCCATGTCTTTATTTTTTGTTATGGTTAGCCTTTGGGTATGTAATTCTCTTTTCCAACCACTCCTGTACGATTACTTTTCAAATTTTAGTTTGTCAAATCCAGTGTCCTTCCATATGGGAACACAGCCTCTGCTGCTTTTCCTTTACTCATTAGAAATGGGTCTAAATACTCCCTGCATGTTGCCTGAGTCATACTCCACAGCTCCATTTAAGGACGAGTTTAAATGCTCCTCTGTCTTGAGGATGTGACTCACATGACAAGTAACACTGACATGTGGTTGCTTCTTGAATCCTTTTGCAGCAGGAAGTTAAGCACCCCTGGCACGTTTATTTCCTGCTGCTTAAAATGAGAGAAATACCCTAGTGACAATGATGGTCTTCTCTAGACATTGGCATTTAGGATTTTCTGAATCTTGGGTCAAGTCTGAGTTCTATTTAGCATGACCCCTTTCTTTCTGTGGCAAAACTGAGTGAGGAAGAGCCTGACCCAATCAAGAAACACATGCCTGCACCAGAGATTGCCTAGCCAGAGGATCAGATTGAATGGAGGCCTTTGCCCACTCTGCAGCGGCAGTTCCAAGGCCACCTTCACACCAAGAGACTACAAGATGAGGCTTGGGTTATAGAGTTCTTGAGTTCTGTAGTTTTTTCTCAGCATCTGAGGATCACTACCAGACAAAAACCATGAAAACTGACACTGAATTTCTGTGTTCTTCTCAATTCTACTGACTGAGCTGCTTGGATCTTTCTCTACCCTAGCTCCGTAATCGGAGACTGTATCATAGAATCACAGGATCAGATGATGGTTGGGGTTGAAAGAGGCCTTAAAAATCATCTAGTTCCAGCCACCTCTAGGGACAGGGACACCTTCCACTAAACCAGGTTGCTCAGAGTCCCACTCAACCTTGCATTGAATGCTTCCAGGAATGGGGCATTCACAGCTTCTCTGGCTAACCTGTTCCAGTCCTTCACCACCCTCACAGTAAAGAATTTCTTAATATCTAATATAACCTGTTCTCTTTCAGTTTAAAGCTATTCCCCCTTATCCTGTCACCACATGCTTTTTAACAAAAGGTCCCTCTCCATCTTTCTTGTAGGCTCCCTTCAGGTACTGGAAGGCTGCAGCTGGGTCACCCTAAGCCTTCTCTTCTCCAGGCTGAACAATCTCCGTTCTCTTGGTCTTTCCTCATGGAAGATCCCAAACAGCTCCATGTCCTTCCTGTGCTGGGAGCCCAGAGCTGATGCAGCCCTGCAGGTGGGGTCCCACAGGAGCAGAGGGGCAGAATCCCCTCCCTCCCCTGCTGCCCACGCTGCTTTGGATGCAGCCCAGGACAACTTTGGCTCTCTGGGCTGTGAGTGCCATTGCTGGGTCATGTCCAGCCTCTCATCCCCCAGCACCCCCAAGTCCTTCTCAGCAGGGCTGCTGTCCATCTGTCCATCCCTCAGCCTGGATTGATACCGGGGGCTGCCCCAGGTGCAGCACCATGCACTCAGTCTTATTAAACCTTATGAGATTGCATGAGGAAAGAGCCCCCATTTCTTGAGCCTATCCAGGTCCCTCTGGATGGCATTCCATCCTTCAGGTGTGTCAGTCACACCACTCAGCTTGGTGTCAGCAGCAAATCTGCTGAGGGTGCACTCGACCTCTTCAGCTATGTCAGTAATGAAGATGATTACACTGCCGTTATATGGACCCCACATGTCAGTGGTGTCCCTTGGGATTCTGAGCCACTGAACACTACCCTCTGCTTGTGACCATCCATCTACTTTCTTACTCATCCAACAGTCCACCCATCAAATCCATCTCTCCAGCTCAGAAAGAAGAATGTTGTGGAGGACCATACTACACAGTTGGTCATATCCAATCCCACAGATCAAAGCACTTAGTGCTGAGGACCCCTGATGGCATTGAACAATGTGTCTGGGCCTTTGCTGTGCCTTTTCTGTGTTGAAACTGGCTGTGGCAGCTGAGGTCTTCAAAAGGTTACACCTTTTGAAGGTTGTATGGTTCAAGTTCTTTATCTGTTTCCTGGAGAGCTGTATGAAAATGACTGCCTGTACCTCAGAAGGTGCATCTTATCAGCAGAGTTTATGTAAATTTGAAAGACTGTTGCTGCCAACCTGAGGTGCTTGTTCTCTCCCCACAAGTTAGAGGCCCAATTTTGATCTGTAGGACCAAATTGCAGATTGGAGGTTGATCATTCTCCAGTTCAGCTCTCCTCAGAAATGCTGACTGTGCTTTCTAGTCCCTTGGTATGCCCAACCCACTTCTGACCCTAGCAGGCACAGGAGATTTACAGTCCTCTACATTAAAAGTTTAAAGGAAACTGACAACATATTACTTCTGAATATGCTGGAGGTAGTTTTCCAGGCATTCCACTACTCTTGGAAGAGTTTTACTCTAATATTCTCCAGATTTATGAAACCCAGGTAATAGTAAGATGAAAATAAAAATCTCTTTTCCTTTGTAATGAAGCACAGTATGCAAATCACTCTCACATCCTTGAAGAAATTTTCCACTCCATAGCTTGAGCTTCAGGTGTAATATGGAGTTCTTTGTTTAGAGTTGACAAAAAGGTTCAGCTGATGCAGCCTCATGTGGTACTGTCCAGCTTTGGAAACAGCTGAGAAAATATCAGTGTATCTACAGATGTAAATTTTTAGCAATTGAATCCCTCAGTTCAGCCATCTTTATTGCTTGAAGAGACCTTGAAAGATCTTTCATTCCAGCCTTCCATGGGAGCAGGACCCCAGAAGAGACAAACTATGTAGTACCCTGTCCGGTCACATCTTGCAGTGATTGCTCTCAGCATGGGAAATGTCTATTAACCAAGATTGTCAAGCCTTCTTAAGGAGAGTGGCCTTGGGCCCATGTCAGCCACTTCCCTTAATATTCTAGGTTGGATTTCTTCTGAGCCCATGGATTTCTGTGGGTTGAGCCCTTGCAAGGGGCTGCAGAGAAGCTCTTCACCTACTGGTGGGTTGACACGTGCATTGTTGTAGATACTTGATCCAGTGCTCTGCAGTCCAGCTGTGCTGGTAAAGATGGAAGTAAAGAAGATACTGAGGAGCTTTGCCTCATCAGCAGTGAACAGCTTCCCTGCCTAGTTAGGCAATGGCTCTGCATCTTCCCTGTGCTTCTGCTTACTACTCACATATCCGTAGAAACCTTTCTTGTTATTCTTGACATCTTTGGCCAATTTTAGTTCTGAGCCTTAGCATTCCTGCCCACATTTTTGCATGCCCTAGCAAGGTTTTTACTGTCCTTGATGGGTATTTAGCTGCCTTTCCATAGCTAGTATGTGTCCTTTTTTTGTTTGTTTGCTTGGGTTTTTTTAATTTTAATTGGAGCACTGTTTTGGAGGGGATGTCCTCAAAATCTGTTTTCTCTGGATTCCTGTCCTTGTTTTCTCTTTGTCCCCTAGTCTGTTTGAATGCAAGTTAACTTCAGTTACACATGGAGTGCAACTACCATGGACTGCTGGGTCAAGACTATGTGCTTAGGATGTGTTAACTCATAAGCACAGAAAGCTTGGTCATGTTTCACGAGGTTGTTTTAATTCAGGTGTTTGTATATTGTGAGGGCCAAAAACCCCTGCATTTTATGATGTTGGATACCTCTGACATTTGGACCTCTAAAGAGCCAAAGTGCATACATACCACACATAGCAAACAGCTCTGGCTACTGGTAAGTGACCTTTTTTTCCCCCCAAAGTTTTACATTTTTATGATAATAAATTTTCAAGATTGATGTAAAGGTGGAATGCAGCTGATCTATGCTGCCTGCCAATTAATCTGTTTTGTCTTTATAATGATCTAAAAGATGCATCCCATAGAGGAGGTTGTTGTTTCAGTGTTACTCACTTTGCTCAGCAGGATCTTAATTAATTATTGCAGATTATTTCATTAATCAGTCTCAAGCTATAAATTCATCCTTTTGATAAGGAATGAGGCATAATGGGGTTTTCTCAGGAATGGGAGCTTTAAAACAGGAAAATACAGGAATCAACATGTTTTTTCTTTATTCATCCATGTTAACCATTACAGTCCTCTTAAGAACAATGTAACAGCTCATGGAAAAACCAAACTGAAGTTCTGGTTTTGTTTGCTTTAAGATAACTGCTTCTGAGTTAAATGAAATACATCCTTACCTTCAGCTGAGACCCTTAGTGTTTCTATCAGTTATTTTTTATGATTACATGATCTCACATTACCACCTGTGTGATTTATTGTCATTTATAGTCTTATGAATGAATTCCTTGATACTGAATGAGAGACTGGCTAATATTACTGGGTTCTGTCAGTACCACTGTCAATACAATAACTAAAATGTGAATATTGAAGCTTAATCCACCATGGATATTAAACTATTTCATCATTTTTCTAATTTCTTTTCAACTTTAAATTACTTGTCAACTTTTTGATCTTTATAAGCCTTGAGAGTTTTCAGAGCCCGTCAGGATTTAACCAAATTGTGGCATTTACCCACCAAAAACTCTTTGCCAATGAAAGGA